CCCCCCCCCGACACTTTTATTCGTAGGCACCAGGTGCATGGGAAATAGTGTTTCAGAAATCCATCAGATTAATTACGCTCTTTGAAACCTTTAGAAGCTGCGCACAATTGTATGCTGAAAACAACGCCCAGAACCCCCTTGTTTTTGAATTTGGGCGGTTCTTAAAGGCAGTGGAGGACAGGCAAAATGGACTTTCCTCGGATTTTGGTGGAGTTAGGTAATAGACCCCCGAGTACACCGACCCCCAACCCCACATGCCAACTCGTACGCTAAGACCTGAAAATGCGCTTCAGAACTCCACCAATAACGCCCACTCAGTGGAAGTGGGCGGGACTGGTAGAGTTTTGAAGCGCATTTTTCAAGACTTAGTGCATGAATTGGCAGGAGGGGTTTGGGCCACTGTGTAATCGCGTGGCCTACTACCCAACTCCGCCAAAAACTGAGAAGGGTCCATTTTGCCTGTCCACTGCCTTGAAGACACATTCTAGAAGTCGTAATCACGGTGATCACAGTAGCGATGAGAGGTGTGATCCTCCACATTGCAAAATTGAGTTGCCAACTCTACAGTACCTAAGCACCCGCGAACACCAAAGCAAGAAAGATATCAACGGTATAGTAGGGGCGTTTTGGCACACTGTGCATAACTAGGTGTACAGTACTATAGAAAACAAATTCAAAGAAAAACAAAAAGAATTTGGTAAATCTTGAAATCAAATTACTACATACCTTGATCTGACAGGACTCAGGCACGATTTCGTCGCGTAAGCCTTTCATAGTCATGGTGTAGTTTTTGCCAGAAAAATTGGACACCGTGATATCATAGCCGCTGAAGAGAGGTCGATAAATGTTGCTTGAGAATTGAGGAATGACCTACTAGTTGTAAAAGCTGTGATGGATTGTTGTAGGATTAACATCTTGAACTCCCTTCAATGTTATGTACACCTTGACGAATTTGTCTGATTCATCCCAACCTAAACCATGAGCCGTGAAAAAAAATTTACATTAGGTTTCTAGCCTCGCATCATTCGCAACTGTATAGAATTGCTTAAAAAAGCAAATGCTTGAAACCCATGTGTATACGCACCGTAGTTTGTGACTTTAACAGTCGGAAGACTCGAAGGAGACGACTTTTCAGCATTCACCGGCTTAGGAGCAGATCCTGTTGGCTCAGAATTTGATGTCTGAGAATCTGACAGCTGCAAAATGAAAACTTAGCTTGAATGGGAAGCTGATCGAAAGAAGATACCTTTTTTAACTCTCTTTCAGTCTCTTCTATCTTGGACTTGATCCAACCTTGAATGTTTGGTCTCTTAGAAACCCGCAGTAGTGACTGTAGTTCGGCAGCATCCAAGGTAAGCTAAAAAAAGCAGACCAAAGTGAACAGAACTGGAGTCATAAAAGCTTCGACAGATACTCTAAATACCTACCTCTTCTGCATTCATGCTGAGGGTTGAAGGATCACAACCGGGTTACCCTGAACGAAAACCTTGATAGTGATATTGTTGAGATAGAAAGGCGATGTAGGCCATTTACGAGCATTGTGTACATATCAAACATGTGCATACTAAAAGAGGAAGAGAAGACAATGCTTTACTGTCATTAGAAAGCTTCTTTTTTGTCCACAAATCTTCTAGAAAGTTGCTCCAATACGTTTGCATTGGCGCAACTTTTCGGAATAGAGCAGGGCACAGAAATGCTTTCCTGTCGAATTAATCTCGCGAGCAGGAAATTGATGGGCTTTTCGGCACAAAGTTAGAGTTCCAATAGTTAGCCCCTTCTTTTAGTT